GGGCCACCAGAAGCAGAGCGCACGAACTTAACTGCTACACCACCAGGCCAACCCAAACATTCCTCTTCTTTGTCCCCTGTCACAGTGTCTCTACCTCTCTTGCTGTGAAATTCCACTTTCCAGGCCTCTCTGGAAAGAGAACTTTGAATTCGTCACTTTTTTCTTCCTACTATACCTTCTCCTGCCCTGTTAGGAAATAATGATTTCTCTCCTTAGCGTCCAACCCCACCTTGGATGCTGTGTCCCCGTGATAAGCTGGTTTTCACTGTGCATTCATGTGAAACTCATTGGTCCCCCCTTTCCCTGCCCCAGGTTCTCCATACTTTTCATTTTCTTCTCGGTTCTCATAACTCTTAAAAGTTTCCTCCATTCTCGTGAGTTAACGTCTTTCTATTCCCTGAAAGAGATTCCCAAATTGACTTCTCCCTTAATATTGTCTAATGTACATTTTATTTCTATGTATTTTACTCTTCTTCATGGCAACTGGCCTATGGCTTCCCATTTTGTGAGACCAAGAATCATCTTCCCTCCATCCTTTTTGAAATTTAGATTCTCTTTATGCACTACACGTTTTCAATTCTAGCCATCCTGACATTACCTTGAATGTTTCCTACATACATCTCTTCTTAAAGGTTTCTACAGTTTCTTTTGATTAAGTAGAAAAGATCTTATTAATGTGCTGTGCGTTAAAACTAGGTCATAATTTCTGTCTGCTTCAAATTACATCCTGCATAGTTCTGCTAATTCAGATTTTCCTTTAGTTCTTAGATGTTGTCACTGCATTTATTTTAACGCTATTGTCTTTACATCATATTTTTTATTGGTTTTATTTAGATTTAATTCACAACCATACAATGTATCTGTTAAAGTGTATAATTCATTGGTTTTTTAGTATATTCACATAGTTGTGCAAGCATACCACAATCAATTTTGGAACATTTTATATGTATATATCCTCATAGTAGCCTTTTTTACTATATTTTTGTAGTAAGTTTTGAAATTGGAAAGTGTGAATCCTCCAACTTTGTTCTTCTCTTTCAAGACTATTTTGAACTATTCTGGACCCTTTAAATTTCCATTTGAATTTTAGAATCATTTTGTGAATTTATGCATAAAAGATGGCTAGGATTTTGATAGGGATTACATTGACTCTGTATATCAATTTGGGGAGTAATTCCATCCTAACCATATTAAACATTCTGATCCATGATCATTGGATGTTTTTCTATCTAATTAGGTCTTTAATTTCTTCCAACAATATTTTGTAACTTTCAGAATATAAGTTTTGCACTTCATTTTTAAAATTTATTCCTAAGTATTGTATTCTTTTCTCTTAGGTCGTAAATGGAATTGTTTTCTTGATTGCGTTTTTAGACTATTCATTGCTAGAATATAGAAATACAAGTGATTACTTTTCCATCATGTTCTCATGACACTGTGTCCTAGTTAATCATGTTTACTGCCATATGAGATTGCAGTTTCTCTGTCATTGATCTCCATGATACATCATCTTAATTATAAAGAGTCTCTACCCTCTTCCTGAACACTCTTTAATGTGTTCCATACATATGATTGCTTCCTGCAATTGACGTGATTGCTTCATTCCTTTAAAACTTGCATTTTGATAGCCTAATAGCCTAATATTTTTGAAGATAACAGCAGTACAAAAAAGAAAGAAAAAATATACCTTGTCCCTACTCTTCACATTGCTTTCATTTTCAGTGGAAGTACTATATAATCAGTAATAAATGTATATAAATAACATGTCTTAGGGCAAAAATTGCTGTAAGGAAAATTAAATCAGCGACTGGAACAGTGGGTGTTGAGTCCTAGATCGGTGCTTTTAGGAATGGGAATGGCTCTTTGATAAGGTGCCTTTGAGCACATAGATGAGGGATTTGAGGAAGCTCCATGGAATTCTCCAAATGTGGGACAATGGGAAGTTCAAACACCTGAATCTGTAATGTTTTTGCGGAGCTTCTAGGAAGCTTGTGAGGATAGAGTGTAATGAGCGAGAGGGAACCTGACTGGAGATGAGGACAGTGGGGTAGTAGCTGGAGGTTCTGGTACATAGGTCACATGTTGCTTATTAAGGGCATTTAAGACCTTGATTTCATTCCAGATGAGCTGAGAAACCAGTAGAGAGTTTTGAGTAGAGGAGTGGCATTATATAACTAATTTTTAATGCATCACTTTGCCTATTGTATAGAAGGTAGACATTATCAGTGAGGGGAGTGTACTTCTTTTGGGTTTCTGGACCCAGTTCCAACATGTGTGTGTGGAGGCGTCCCCACACCAACAAGCACCTTCATTAACATAAACTAGAAATTCCAAGGGTTTTGGAAGCTGTGAGCCAGGATCTATGGATGAAGACCACATACGTATGAGAAATATATTTTGGTCATCTGAATGACCAAATATACATTTCTTATAAATCACAATATCACAGTACTGTTATGGTTACAATTTGTGCCAGTAAAATGATACAGATTAAAATCATCAAAGATAAAAGGTGCATAGGAAAGAATCCAGGAGAAAGTAGACACAAAACTTCCAGTTTTCCTCCACTGGTAGTCACATGAACAGTGCTGAATTTTCCCAGCAACAACGTTGACAGCACATGTGAAGCATTGCCAACCAGAGAAGCTCACCCCAGCCTGGTGCTTCTAGCCCCCCAGAGTCAAAATGTTACAACGTTGTCCAAAGCCCCAGGCATACAAAAACAGGCATCCGTCATAAATCACATCATTAGCATAAACCATCTGGTATCACCTAAGACATTAGGCCTAAAAAGACACTCATCAGGCAGAATATTCCAGGGACTCAGAGGTTATCTTCCAGTAATCCAGTCAGGACCAGTCCTTTCTTTGGAATGTGCGGGGATGCAGTAACCCAAGCCCACTGAGTTAAAACTTGACTGCATATCATCCTTCCCTCTATGTAGGAACATAGGAGAGTATGTTCCAATTAGACTACTGGTTGGAGTTTTGATTACAGAAGATTTTGTCTAAATTTGAGATTAGTGCTTTGGGAGAGTTAGGTTAATGGTGGTCTGCAGAATGAAGAAGAATGTCAAGTTTTTGGAATATGATAACCCTCAATAGTCTGTCACATTTATCTTGAAATCAGATGCTGAGGATTCACATTCTTACTCTTCATTGTGTTTATTCTCTACACCTGGGTCTGAGGTGTGTGCCTGATCACAATACTCAATGATTGGTTTTCTCCCATGGGCTTATTGAATTCCAAAACTCCACATGTTGGAATGACTAAAGCTTTGGCCCTGTGCCTTCACCTTTTCTTCTACGTGTATCCACACACAGTCTCATCCAGTACTTTTTCTTTGAATAATTAGTATATGTTGATGCTCTCCACATTGCTATTTTCAGATAAGACCTTTTTTAAGATATATATATATTCAGCCAGTTTCATGTTTGCACTTAGATATGTAATAATCATCTTAAACTTTATGTTTCACAGTGAACACTAGATTTTCCCCTCATTCTGGATTTCAGTAATATTCCTCATTTTATTAAGAGGCATTCCACCCACCCAGTGGCTCAAGTCACATAATTCCTGGAGTAATCCTTGAGGCCTCTTTCATTAACCTCTTCCCACTTCTCCCATTGAGCCCATCAGTGAACCTTGTCTTTCCTTTAGATATATCCTGATTTCCTCCTCCTCTTATGTCTCCATTGCTCCTTTAACTGTGTTTCACAGACTGCAATTGCCTTCTTTATTCCTTTGCTTCAGTTGTCTATACCTAGAACTAAACCTGGGTTTCCTACACATTTAATTGAATTCTGACACTATCTACCTAGAAATAATGTCAGATCCTACAAATTAAGTGTTCGACCACAAGACTGCCCACGCTTCAGATGTCAGTCACAAGTCCACATTGTTACCCGTGCTTCTGACCAACTGGCTATAAATCAGAAGTTCCAATACCCCTTCTTTGGGTTCAGTTAATTTGCTAGAGTGGCTCACAGAACTCAGAGAAACATTTACTTATGTTTACCAGTTTATTATAAAGAATATTATAAAGAATACAGATGAATAATCAGATGAAGAGGAACATAGGGCAAGGTCTGAAGGATTCCTGAATGCAGGAGCTTCTGTCTCCATCGAACTGGGCTGCACCACCCTCCTGGCACGTGGATGTGTTCACCAACCCAGAAGCTGAGCAAATCTTGTTGTTGTAAGAGCTTTTATAGAGCTTTAATCTCTAGGGCCTCCCTTCTTTCCCAGAGGTTAGTGGTTGGGGCTGATGTTCTAATCTTCCAATCACTTGGTCTTTCTGGTGACTGGACCCCTCCTGAGGCTATGAAGGAACTCTATGCTAAGTCACCTCATTAGTATAAACTCAGGTGTGATTGAAAGGGCTTGCTATGAATAACAAAAGATATTCCTGTCACTTAGGAAATTACAAGGGTTGTAGGAGCTCTGTGCCAAGAACTGGATGAATGAAATATATTCATTCTTGGATGAAGAACAAATATATTTCTTATTATACCACATATAGGATTGCCACCAAATAGTTACTTCACATGAAGACATTTTTTGAAATAGTTTTATTCCATACTAAGATTATGAGAGATTACAGAATGACTAATTGTTCTCTTCTTTCCTAGAAATCAGGAAAGTTGGTCCTTTGCAGCATCAGTTTCAAAATCAAAGCAGTCGGAAGAGTATGAAACAATGCTGTGAACATAATATGTTTGCAGATATTGTTGATGAGAGCAAAAGTCATTTCCTGTTAAAGCAAAATTGTGATATGCTTGACTCATGTGAAAAACCTTTAAAATCAAATTTAAGTTTCGAAAACCAGAACAGAAGCTGTAACTTACAGAACTCTGCTGAGTTTAATGGAGATAAGAAGTCACTTCTCTATGCTAACCATGAACAATTTTATACTGAATTTAAATTCCCTGTAAGTGCAAAACCCATCAACAATAAGTCCCAGGTCGTTAAGCAACAGAGAACTCACAACATAGAGAAAGCGCATGTATGCAGTGACTGTGGGAAAGCCTTCATCAAAATGTCTCAGCTCATTGATCATCAGAGAGTTCATACTAGAGAGAAACCTCATGGGTGCTGTATGTGTGGGAAAGCCTTCTCCAGAAAGTCCAGGCTCACTGAACATCAGCGAATTCACGCAGGACTGAAACATTATGAATGCACCGAATGTGACAAAACCTTCCTCAAGAAATCACAGTTTAATATACATCAGAAAACTCACATGGGAGCGAAACCTTATGCATGTAGTGAATGTGGGAAAGCGTTCATCAAAAAGTGTCGGCTCATTTATCATCAGCGAACTCATACAGGAGAGAAACCGCATGGATGCAGTCTATGTGGGAAAGCCTTCTCTACAAAGTTTAGTCTGACTACACATCAGAAAACTCATACAGGAGAGAAACCTTATACATGCAGTGAATGTGGAAAAGGCTTCATTGAGAAGAGGCGTCTTATTGCACATCATCGAACTCACACTGGTGAGAAACCCTTTATTTGTAATGAATGTGGGAAAGGTTTCACGTTGAAGAACAGTCTTATCACACATCAGCAAACTCATATAGAAGAGAAATTGTATACTTGCAGTGAATGTGGAAAAGGCTTTTCAATGAAGCACTGTCTCATTGTACATCAGCGAACTCATACTGGAGAGAAACCCTATATATGCAATGAATGTGGAAAAGGCTTCACCTTGAAGAGCCCTCTCATCAGACATCAGCGAACACATACAGGAGAGAAACCCTATGTATGTAGTGTATGTGGAAAAGGCTTCACCATGAAGAGTGATCTCATTGTGCATCAGCGAACACATACTGCAGAGAAACCATATATATGCAATGACTGTGGGAAAGGCTTCACGGTAAAGAGCCGCCTGATTGTCCATCAACGAACTCATACAGGAGAGAAACCTTATGTCTGTAGTGAATGTGGGAAAGGCTTTCCAGCAAAGATTCGGCTGATTGGACATCAAAGAACTCATACGGGAGAGAAACCCTATATATGCAGTGAATGTGGAAAAGGCTTCACAGAGAAGAGCCATCTCAATGTACATCGGCGCACCCATACAGGAGAGAAACCCTATATATGCAATGAATGTGGCAAAGGGTTAACCGGGAAAAGCATGCTAATTGCACATCTGCGAACTCATACTGGGGAGAAACCATATATATGCAATGAGTGTGGAAAGGGCTTCACCATGAAGAGTACTCTAGGTATACATCAGCAAACTCATACTGGAGAGAAACCATACAAATGCAATGAATGTGGTAAAGCCTTTAGGAAGAAGACATGCCTCATACAACATCAGAGATTTCAGACAGGAAAGACTTCCTTTGCATGTACTGAATGTGGGAAATTCTCTTTGCGCAAAAACGATCTCATTACCCATCAGAGAATTCACACAGGAGAGAAACCATATGAATGCAGTGACTGTGGGAAAGCCTTCACTACAAAGTCAGGGCTCAATGTTCATCAGAGAAAACATACAGGAGAGAGGCCCTATGGATGCAGTGATTGTGGGAAAGCTTTTGCCCACTCGTCAATCCTTGTTAAACATAAGAGAATTCACAGGTAGTCACTTTGGGAAAGCCTGTTGCCAGTTGTAGGCCCTCAAGATAATAGTATGCAATCAAGAATAACTTAATGCAAAGAATGTGGTGGTGTGTTTAGTGAACAGTTACCTCATGTTTTATGTTGAAAAAAATTACAAAACAACTCAATCAACCTTGATGAAAATATTTTAGAACATATGTCTAAAAAGTGTATACTGAGATAAATCCTATGAATGTGATGGACTAGGAAAGCCTTCAGTGGGCAGTAGACTCTATCATATGTTATCATAGATCATGAGTGAGTGAGTATTTCTAATTGGTAGAGATATAATTGTGGGAAAGCCTTTACCCAGAAGTAACACCTCAATAAATGTCGGTTCGCACTAGAGAAATACTTTCCTTTGGCAATGAATATGGCAGGGTTTACAGTAATATATGTTGCCTCATCATTTGCCAGGAAATCCATACAGAAATAACTTATGAACACATTCAATGTAGTGGACTTTAGCAAAATATCAGACAACTTCATGATGGAAAGATGTCTTGGGGAAATGATGAATGAGAACAGTCTGTCACAAGTCTAAACAGATAACACACCTCACAAGCATTCGGGGACAGGATACCTTCAACCATATTTCTAGTTGCCTTGTCATTGATTTTATAAATTTTAAATAGTGGCAGTTACTCTCATCATGGATTAAATTTTAATATATACAATGCAGGAGTGTTCTATGCCTGTTTCCTTATATTAACTTTTGGATTTCTTTGGTTCCAAGTTTAAGTGTCAGAATACTTAAAGTACTTCAAAATGACACAATATATTCATTGCAGAAGTATAACTCCACATATTTGGATGTGTTTAACCAAATTTATAAGCAGCATAGCATTAAGTGGCTTATAAAATTAAAATAAATATGATGTTTTGATAACTTTAAATTTTGAAATATGTTTAGAATCACAAAAACTGAAATATTCCAGAGATTCCTAAATGCCCTTCAGCCAGCTACTCCCAAAGGTAAAACCTTACGTAACCATAGTTCATTATCAAATAGAGGAAAGTGAAATTATTGAAATGCTGTTAACTACAGGATTTATTTGGATCATACCAGTTTTTTTCTTTTTTTTTTATAGATTTTATTTTATTAATATTTTTCACCCCCAAAGCCCCAGTAGATAGTTGTATGTCATAGCTGCACATCCTTCTAGTTGCTGTATGTGGGATGCGGCCTCAGCGTGGCCGGAGAAGCGGTGCATCAGTGCGCGCCCAGGATCCGAACCCGGGCCGCCAGTAGCGGAGCGCACGCACTTAACCGCTAAGCCACGGGGCCGGCCCCTGGATCGTACCAGTTTTAACATGCGCTCATTTTTATTTGGTTTTTATATATAGTATTAGGAAACTAGCACATATGTAGGTTCATGTAACCAACACCACAGTAAAAATTCAGAATGTTTTGTCAACACAAACTCCCTCATGCTACCCCTTCATAGTCACGTCCTTTCCCTGACCCTAACCCTTGGCATCATAGATCTCTATGTATCTATAATTTTGTCATTTATAGAATATTAGAAAAATGGAATCATTTAGCATGTATTCTTTTGAGATTGGCTATATGACCTTGTGAGATCAGTAGAAAATATATATATTGGTCTATGCCCCTGGTTCCTGGCACAGAGCTCCTGAAACCCTTGTAATTTCCTAAGTGATAAGAGCACTAGGAGCATCTTTTGTTCTACGGAGGTGACTGTTGGTGGGCTCCTGGATGGGGGCTGGTCACTGGAAAGCCCAAGCCATGATTAAAAGTTTGGAATTTTCAGCCCCACTCTCCATCCTCCAGAGAGGGAAGAGGGGCTGGAAATGGAGTTAATAATTGATCATTCCTGTGTGAGGGTACTTCCATAAAAGCCCAATAGTACAGAGTTCGGAGAGCTTCCAAGTGGATGAACATATCCAAGTACAGGGAGAGTAACACCCCAACTCCATGGGGACAGGCTCCTATGCTTGGGACCCTCCCAGACCTCACCCTATGTATTTCTTCATCTGGCTGTTCATCTGTATCCTTTATCCTTTAATAAACTGGTAAATATAAGTAAGTGTTTCCCTGAGTTCTGTGAGCGGCTCTAGCAAATTAATTGAACCCAAAGAGGGAGTTATGGGAACCTATTTGTAGCCATGTTGGACAGAAGTTGTAGGTAGCCTGGGGACCTATTACTTGCAATTGGCATCTGAAGTGGAGTGGGAGTAGTTTGTGGGACTGAGCCCTGAACCTGTGGGATCTGACTCTATCTCCAGATAGATAGTGTTGAAATTGAGTTAAATTGTAGGACACCCAGCTGGTGTCTGGAGAATTGCTTGGTGTGGGTAACCCCCCCCCTCCAACAGACATTTGGTGATCAGAAGTGTCAGAAGTGTTGTGAGTGTGGCAGTAGTGTGAAAGTAAAGGAGAAATAAAAGGAGGAAGACTGAACGATAGGTTTTTCCAATACAGACCTCAAGTAAATTCAACACGACACATAATCAATAATCATTCTATAGCAGAGAGTTTTATTTGAATGAAATTGAGGACTAGCCCAGAAGTGCAGTCTTCACCAAGGAAGAAAGCTCTCCAGGAAAGCATGGTTTTCAGCACAGTTTATACCATTTCAGAAAAAGAACATATGTTAAGCATGACAGGGCTACTTTTTTTTCTTCCTGTTTTCAAGATTTCAAGGAGACATTCTGTTTACAGATTAGCACGTACTCAGAGGGTCAACATGACCTTGGTGCCGTGGGAAGGGAGATTCATCTGGCAACACAGGAAGGGAGGCATTAATTCTTATCGTCAAAGAGCACATTCTTTACTGTAGGGTAGTGAATGAATGCATCCTTTACTGTAATGGTTAGAGCAGATGTACAATGTATGTTTGACAGGCCATAATTCAGCCTTCTTTAGTTTAAGTAAAGTTCAGGCCAAATAAGGTATAAACCAGAATGGCTTCCCCCTATACCTTAATATGTAAAAATTTCATATCAAACCTAAGATCCAGCCAGAAGCTCTCTGGTATCTTCTCTGCCATATGGACGCTGGACTCATGCAAACTGGCACACCCAACATATTCCTGCCTAAGGCTCAAGGGCACCGTCAACTTTCCGTTTTGCCTAAACTGATGATTAGAATGCATTGCAGATCACATTGGCCTTGGACAGGTTCAGTCTTTGAAAACTTAAGAGGAAGGCACTGGGGTGCCCATAAGACATTTCCATTTCTTCCCACCCAGCAGAGTCCTAGCAGCTGTTATGGCCACGCCCATCAGAAATGCCAGAATACTGCTCTATGAGGTAACAGTGCCATGTTACCGAGTTCTGTGCAAGGCGGACTTCTGGGAATGACTCCGAGCCCTTGCCAGACACACTCCTCCCAGCCCCTCAGTGTCCCTAGCGACAGCGACAGCCGAGGAAGCACTAGTGAGAGAACACCAAATCAGAAGTGGTTTTGGACCTGGGTTCAGCCTTTGGCAGCTGCCAGTGGAGCCTTCGGAGGCTCAAGATCTGGTGAGCCTGATTCTGGGCGTGAATCTTGAGTGAGGGGCCTGTGGGGTCGGTGAAGAGGGAATGCATGTGAATTTCGTGTTTGGAGATTTATTTGGGTTCAGTGACCGAGGAATCTGGGTGTTAGTGTGGGGCCTTTGGTTAAGGCTATGTCAGGAGAGATTAAGGAATGAAGGTCTAATGTTCAGGGCTTAGGGTCAATATGTTAACTCTTCAAGACCCAGTGATTGAAAACTGGGTGGGAGGTGTGTACCAATGAACACTGCTTCTTGTCTAGGTTAGTGATTTAATACGGAGCTCATGACATGGAGAACCTGGGGTTCTTGTCAGTGGACAAGAGCTTCTGTGGTAAATTTCAGATTGAATTTGAGGTCAGTGTTGTTTGGGGAGTGCAGAGTTTGTCTGTTTGAGAGCATAGGAGTCTAGAAGCTTGAGACCCACAGCCCGAGGCTAGTGAGTGTTTTGAAGCTCAACCTTTGGATACTGGAAACTTTCCTTTCAGTCTTTCAAGTCCAAGTCCTTTTTCAATGTTCCTATTAAAAATTTGTCTCCCATATCCACTCTTCTCATTGTCCTCACAAAAATTAGAGTAGTTCATTCATCATGATCAAGTGGTATGTCTATGAATAAAGATAGGATTTTTGTTCATTTTACAGCAAAGTTTACTCTTGGATATTTCCCTGTTCAGGTTGGTTTGACACAAGTAAAAACAACCATTTTCCTAAATTCTACTCCTCAGTAAGAACGATTTCATTAAAAAAAATTTTTTTAGAGTACCTTCCTAAAAATTGGGATCTTCTGTATAAATATACATTCAAGAATCTGCTTACCTTCTAACATGGCTTTACTTTTTTGCATTGTGTTTGGCAAATAAGGTCTCATTATTTAATAAGAGTTCCTATTACTCCACCTTATCACCAGCACTTTATATTTTCAGTTTTTTGGATTTCAGCATATTCTAATAGCTGGGTACATGTATCACATTGCAGTTTTAATCAGCAATTATCTAATAATAAATGGTGTTGACCATCTTTTCATATGACTATTTGCCATCTGTTTATCTTTAATTAAGTTTCTGTTCAAGGTCTTTGCCCATTTTTAAAATTGGGTTTTCTTAGTTTTGACTTTTAAGAATTCTATGTTCTGGATACCAGTCCTTTATCAGATATGTGACTTGTGTGACAAATGTGGTGAAATTCCTTCTTCTTTTTTTTTTTTTTTTTCCTGAAGATGATTCACCCTGAGCTAACACCTGTGGCAAATCTTTCTCTATTTTGTATGTGGGCTGCCACCACAGCATACCCACTGACCAGTGGTGTATGTCTGCACCCGGGAACTGAACCCGGGTGAAGCAGAGCACACTGAACTCAACCACTAGGCTACCATGGCTGGCCCGAGATTCCTTCTCTCTTTTTTTTTTTGCCTATGGACCTCCAAGTGTTTCAGCATCATTTGTTGAAAAGTCTATCTTTTCTCCATTGAATAGCCTTTGTACCTTTGTCAAGTAGTTGAGTATATTTGATTTATGTAGGTCTTTTTCTGGGATCTCTATTCTGTTCCATTGATCTATGGTTTTTCCTTTCACTAATACTATCAATACCAGTACCTCTATAGGTTTATAAGTCTTGAAATCTGTTGATGTGAGCCCTCTATCATGGTTCTTTTTGGACAGAATTGTTTTTGCTATTTCCACTGGAGAAACCTGGCAAACGTTACCTTTACCAGGAGATCAACCTTAAGTCATTTTAATATTTTGTACTCCTTAGATATGATGTGATAAAGGGACTTAATTCTGAAGTGTCTTTTCCAAAATACATAACCCCTGTTTAATGAAGAAAACAGACCAACCCAAAAGACGGGCAATATACAAAATACTTGATCAATACTCCTCAAAATAATTGAGGACATCAAAAAGAGAAAAGACTGAGGAATGGTCATTGAGCAGAGAAAATCAAGGAACATGCAAGGGTTGAATCCAGTGACAGAAAAAGGACAGTAGTGGAAAAACTTGTGAAATCCAAATAGAATCTGTAATTTAGTTGAGTATTATACCAATGTTAATTTCTCAATTTGACAAATTTACCATGGTTATGTAAAATGTTCACATGAGGGGACGTCAAATGAAGGTATATGTGAACTCTTTGTAGTACCTTGTGAGTTTTGTGTAAATGTAAAATTTTCCCAAAATAAAAA